GATGACCCTGGGCTCATTAGGGACTTATTCTGGGTGTCTGTCCACCATGCAATTCTCCATCTGATCCAGATACAGTCAAGAAACATAATCTTACAACCTCTGCCTGCGGACATCAGCAGGGTACCCCCTCCCCAGCCACACGGGTTACTGGGCACCTTCAGGACAGTGTAATGTCTACAAGGGGATATTGTCATGTCCTTAAGGCTTAGTCTGACCCTCCTGAAGGCTCATTTTAGGCTTGGAAGCTGTTGAAGTTGGTACACAAATTGGCACATTTAATTATCACAGCCACTCTATCGTAGCTATTTTTCAGGCAGATTAAATTCCTCTGTCGTTGATGTTATTAGTGGGTGTCCTTGAGTTGAGTACAACCCATAGCGACGCTATCAACAAAAGATCTGAAACCTGTTCTATCCTGTGCCATCATCACACTTCCTGACTCACCACAGCCCGTTACTTTAGTCACTGTGATATTTCACCAAGTTGAGGATTTTCCTCTCCTTGGCTGGCCCTCTGCCTTTCCAAGCATGATGACCCTCTCCAAGGAGTAACCTCTCCTAGCAACACACCCAAAGTGTGTGAGATGACGTTTTACCATCTTCCCATCCAAGGAGCACTATGGCTTCACTTTCCCCAAGACATATCTGTTTGCTCTTTAGAAGTCAATACGGTGTTCAACACTACAGTAAAATTTGCTAGTAAAACCATCTTGTTCAGATCTTTTTGTTCTTGCTGTTATTGAAAGGATTTTTTTATAACCAGTTTACTTTCTTCTTTTGTGATGGTTTTCTTCAGGTGTTCTACTTCAGTCTGTGACAGTTTGAGTGGGTTGTGTGTTTCTAAGCATTTGTCCATTTCTTCTAGATTTTCATATTTGTTTGATTGTAGTTTTTCATAAAATTCCATTGTTAAACTTTTTTATTTCAGCTCATCTATCTATCTATCTATCAATCATCATCAATTTTTATATACTTCCCAAGTATTTTATTTATATCCCCCCCACACATTTACTTGTCATCAAGATTGATTTTGTTGATGTGTAAACCTTTCTTGAGAAGCAGGAGTGGCATCTACTTCCTAAATAACATTTCTCTGGAAATCCTATGAACTTTGATAAATGATGATAGCCATAGAAAGGCTTCAGGCCTTTTGTTCATAGGGTCACTACGAGTTTGTTTGACTCAACAGCAATCAACAACAACATACTATAATGGTCCTGTTTTGTGACTGAGTTGTGTCACTCAGTATTATTTGTTCTAGTTTCATCCATGTAATGCAGTATTTTCTTACTTCTTGATAATTTTTCAGGAATTCAGAATACTCCATTGTGTTAATGTACCAGATTTCTGTATTAGTTTGTCCACTGATAAACATTTGGGTTGTTTTCGACACTTTTCTCTTGTAAATAATGTTGCAATAAATTCAGGTGTGGACACATTTGTTCTTGTAACAGTTCCTATTTCATTATTATATAAACCTAGTAGTGGACTGATTAGATCAAATGGAATTCCTATTTTAAATTTTCTCAGAGAGTGCTAAACCATTTCCATAGTGGTTACACTTTTTTCATTCTCACAAAAACAGTCTGACGGTTCGAATCCCTCCACACCTTTGCCAACATTTGTTGTTTAAAGCTTTATTGAAATTTTCTATTTTTGCTAAGATGAGGTGACAACCTTGTTTATTATTATTGTTACTAATAATAATTATGATACTGGTTTATTTACAAAACTACCTTGATCTCCATGTGTTTTGGGCCCTACTGAATACAATCCTTGGTGAAACATCTGTTCATGTCCTCAGCCCATTTTGTAATTGGCTTGTTTGTCTTTTCCTTGTTGAGATGTTGGAGTAGTCGATAAATTTTAGAGATGAGTTCCTTGGCAGGTTTGTCATTGTCAAGTATTTTTCCCAATCTATAGGTTCGCTTTTTTACTCTTCTGAAAAAGTATTTTTTTTAAATATGCTTTATTTAAAATGCACACTTTGGTGAGAACAGATGGAAGCGCAATTGATGTCAGCTGAGAGGCTTATTTTTTTAATTTATCATTATTAATTTTAATGAACATTTACAGAGACTTTGGATTTCCATTCATCCACTGTTGCACTTTTCTCCCTGGCCGTCTCTCCTCCCAGTTCACTCTTACCTTTGAAAAGTAAAAGAAAAATTCTTTCATACAATCCCTCCCCCCAGGTCCACTCCACTGTGCAGCCTTCATTCTGGACTCCAGTCATGAAAAAAACACCTAATCACATATCCCTTTTAAACAATTTTCTCCCTCATCTGTTTCAATGCATGATGCATTATTTATCCCATCTTTCTCAGTCTCCCCCTAACCCCGATGTCAGTCCTGTTTTACAGCAGTGGCACTATGCAGTGTTTGTCCTTTTGTGACTGAGATATTTCACTCAGCATAATGTCCTTCAGGGCCACCCATTTTGAATAATATTTCATGAGTTCCTTTTGATGTACATAAAGATTTAATTTTAAGAGGTTAATATAAACCAATTTTTCTGATGTTGACTGTGTGTCTGTTATGTGTACCAAATATGTATGAGTCCATGAAAAGGGACTCATCTCTAATTTATAGAATACTCCATCTAAAAAAAAAAGTAAAAGACAAACAACCCAATGGCAAAAGAAGACATGCATAGACATTTCAATGAAGAAGACTTTTCAATAAAGAAGACATTCAGATGGTCAAAAAAAAAAACAAAACCAACGAACAAAAACACCACACATGAAAAAAAAAATGCTCAAGATCATTGGAGTTCTATTTAAGTCATTCTAAACTCTGGTGGCTTAGTGGTAAGGAGTTGTGCTGCTAGCACAAAGCCACTTCACTTGAATCTACCAACTGTTCCATAGGAGAAAGACAGGAAATTTCTTCCCAGGTGATTATCTATCAAATATGATTACTTACAACTCAATGCAAAATTAAATCATAGCTTAGAGCTTCTAAGTTTGTCCCAATTTTGTCTTTGATTACTTTTTTTTTGCAAGATAAGAATCCTTTTTTTAAAATTTATTATTAATTTCAATGAAAATTTACAGAGACTGAATATCCATTCATTCATTGTTGTACTTTTCTCCCCTCCCAACTCTCCCCCCTAGTACACTACCCTCTTGGAAAAGTAAAAGAAAAATTATTTCATTGTTTTACCATCCCTCCCCCCAGGTCCACTCCACTATACAGCCTTCGCTCTGGACTCCTTTCATAAAAAAATACCTAATCACATATCCCTCTTAAATGGTTTTCTCCCTCATCAGTTTCAATGCAGTATACATTATTGAACCCATCTTTCTCAGTCTCTTCCCAACCCCAAGGTCAGTCCTGTTTTACAACAGTGGCACCATGCAGTATTTGTCCTTTGGTGACTGAGATATTTCACTCAGCATAATGTCCTCCAGGGTTACTCATTTTGAATAATATTGCATGAGTTCCTTGATTTTCAATGCAGCATAGTATTTCATTGTGTGAATATACCACAGCTTCTCTATCCATTCGTTTGTTGATGGACACTTAGGTTGCTTCCAACTCCTTGCTATTGTGAACAAAGCCACAATAAACATGAGTGTGCATATATCTGCTTAGATGTCAGTTATGGTCTCTTTGGGGCATATTCCCAGTAGTGGAATTGCTGGGTCAATGATTACTTTTATAATTTTAGGCTTTTCAAAAAGTCCTTGGTCCATCTTGAGTTAGTTTTCATATATGTTGTTAAATTCAAATCTTGTTTTAATTTTCTGTAATTGAGTATTTGATGTTACTATTATTTGTTGAAGAGACTGTCTTTCCTCTACATAATGGATTTCATTTCTTTGTCAAAGATCAGTTGTTCATCAGTGGATGGATGCATTTCTGAGGTGAAAAGGTCCTTAAAGTCAGAGATGCAGTCACTGTGTGAAACTGGACCATTAAGAGCAGGAGTCAGTTAGGTGACAGAAACTCCCCTTCTTCTTCATAGCTCCTCACATATTGGAGCTATACGTCCTTGATATCCTTGTATGTCCCATTGCCACTCTGGATATCAGTTTACCTATCCATTAAAGACTGGGGTTGGACAGAAGACCTCCAAGACTGACCCAGCTCAAAGACATCTCAGATGCAGGCCTGACTAGCTTTCTCGGTAGTCATGGACCACTCCCTTCCAATTCTTGAACGTTTCCCCATCCTCTGTAAATGAACTTGTAACTTTGTAAGCTCAAAATCACTGTCAATGGCATAGCATGGACTCTTAATCAGAGAGCTTAGGTTCAAGGCCCTAGTCCTACTACTTTGCTAACTCTGTGGTCCTGGACAGATAGTTTCACCCATCTGGGCATAGACTTACTGAGCCGTATATTGAGAATAATTATGGCCACCCTTGTAGGATTCTTGGAAGATATTGAAGAGGGAATATTATGTAGAGTGATTAGAAAAAGTGACTAGTGTACAAGAAGCTTTATATTCCTTTTTGCTATTTCTCCTGTTCTGTCAATGGAACCCTGGTGGTCAAGAGATGAAGATGGAGTACTGCCAATCCAAATGCTGGTGGTTCAAATCCACCAGCTACTGCTAAGGAAAACAAGTAGGGCCATATCTTCCCAAGTAATTTATAGCTTCTGCAATCCCACTGGAGGGTCAGCTATCAGTTAGCTCTGACTCAGTAACAAGTTGAGTCTTGTTGTTGTTTTCTGAGAGATGACAATATAAACAACTGCTCACATATCCTGGCACAAGTAAGAATATAATAAATTGTGCTTCATAGTACAAGAAGGGAGCTCTGGTGGGCTAGTGGTAAGAAACTGCACTTACTGCCATCCCAAAGGCACATGGTTCAAATCCACCAACTGCTCTGAAAACTCACTGGAGGGTGAGCTATGGGTCAGTTCTGGCTTTACGTTACACAAGAACAACAACAACAACAGTACAAAAGCACCGAGCAGCAGCAGGTGACAACTACTATCATGGGATCTATTGTTCAGCGGATTTCCTTCTTCTCTCTCTTGCAGGACAATGTCATCCTTCATGTCTTGGGGACTCATCCTGTTAGCAGCCTTGTGCTGCCTGGTCCCTGGCTCCTTGGCTGTGAGCATCCAGGGATTTGACGACCAGGAACCATTTATACCCAAGAATGACCACAGCCAGCATCAGCCAGCAGCCAGCCACAAGACTACACCAAACCTGGCAGATTTTGCCATAAGTGTGTACTGTCAAATGGCCTACAAGTGCAACACGACCAATATCCTCTTCTCCCCAGTGAGCGTCGCCTTAGCCTTCGCACTGCTGTCCATGGGGGCCAGCTCTGACACCCACACCCAGATCCTGAATGCTCTGCAATTCAATCTCAGTGAGACATCAGAGGCAGAAATCCACGCGGGCTTCCAGCACCTTCTCCACACCTTCAACCAGCCCAAGGGCAAGCTTCAGCTGACCACTGGCACAGGGCTATTCGTCGATGAAAATCTGAAGCTTGTGGAGACGTTTGTGGAGAATGCTAAGAAGATGTACCACTCAGAAACCTTCTCTGTCAACTTTAGGGACACGGAAGCAACCAAGAAACAGATCAATGATTATGTAGAGAAAGGAACCCAGGGGAAAATTGTAGACTTGGTCAAAGAGCTTGACCAAGATACACTTCTTGCATTGGTGAATTACATTTACTTTAAAGGTAAGTTGTATAACCAATATTAGCTGATTCCCATGGAAACCTCCACTGTTATTTTCTACCATTCACGTCTTAAACTTCCTTTGACAATGCAGTATTGAGCATGTTATTGTCTCGTCAAAGGTAACTGTATTTTTCACATGTTGTTGTATACCATCAAGTTGGAGCTGACCGATAGCTGACCCTCTGGTGGGTTTTCAGAGGCAGTTAAGGAAGGAGACTTTTCATCATTCTCTTGTGGAGCAGATGGTAGCCTTGAAACATGTGTCTTTGTGATTGCAATGCAGCTTCTTGCCCCAGGCCATCAACCAATGAATATCCTTCCTTTATCAAATGACTTTTGTGAATAGTATGTTAAATAGAACCAAGCCATCTTCTCAAACAGGGCTTTCAGACATTGTAGTACCCAAATGAGTATCCAAAATCTTTATCAGGGATGAAAGGGAAGACAAAGCAAAGTATTATAATTAATTACGCAAAGACCTGGAATCAGAAAACCAAAAGGACTGACATCATTTGACATTTTGTAAGCTAAAGAAATAGAAGAACAAATTCAAGCCTCAATTTGCAACACTTACAGATGCTTTGGGCAGAATATTAAATAATCCAGGAAGCACTAACAGAAGCTGGAAGAGTATACAGAGTCACTGTACCAAAAGGAATTGACTGACAAAGAATAATTTCATAAAACAGCGTATGAGCAAGAGCCTGTGGTGATGAAGGAAGACATTGAAGCTGCTCTAAAGGAACTGGCAAAAACCAAGACCCCAGGAATTGACAGCATACCAGTCGACTTATTTCAACCAAACAGATGCTGCCCTGGACATGCTCACCAATTTGCGCCAAGAAATTTGGAGGACAATCAGCTGGTCAACTGACTGGAAGAGATCTATATTTGTTCCCATTCAAACGAAAGGTGACTTGACAGTGTGACAATTTTTGAACAGTATCATTAGTATCACATACAATCATGATTTTGCTGAAAATTATCCAAAAACAACTGGAATAGCATATCAACCGAGAACTGCCAGATGTGTAGCCTGGGTTTAGAAGAGGCTGTGGTTCTAGAAATACTGTAGCTAATGTTAGATGGATCTTAGTGGAAAGCAGAGATTACCAGAGGAATATCTATCTTTGTTTCACTGACTATGCAAAGGCATTTGACTACGTGGATCATAACAAAGCTTGGTTAACTCTGACAAGAATGGGAATCCCAGAACACTTGACTGTGCTTATGTGAAACCTGTACTTGGACCAGGAGGTAGTTCTTAGGACAGATCAATGAAACATTACATGGTTCAAAATTGGGAAGGGTATATGCTAGGGATGTTTCCTATCTCAATACTTTTAATGAGGAAGAATGTGGCATCAGGATTGGAAGAAGACTTATCAACAACCTGCATTATGCAGATGACACAAACTTGCTGAAACTGAGGAGGACCTGAAGCACTTGCTGCAGGTCAGTGACGGCAGCCTTCAATATGGATTGAAGTTCAACATGAAGAAAACAAAGATTCTCACAACTAAGCTGATTGGCAGCATCATGATAGACAGTGAAGAGATAGAGAGCTTTCCATTTGCTTGGCTCCACAACCAACACTCTTGGTACCAGCCGCCAGGAAATCAGCAGTGATGTCACTCTGGATCCTAAGGTGTGCCTGATCTAGGCCATCATGTTCGCAATTACTTGCTATGAATCAAAAAGCTGGACAATGACTGGAGATGAAGAATTGATGGCTTTGAGCTGTGATTCTGGAGAAGAGTACTGAATATACCATGGAGTGCTAGGAGAATAATCAGGTTTGTCTTGGAGAGGGTGAAACCAGGTTGCTCCTTGGAGGCAAAAACGCTGAAGCTCTGTCTGACATTTTTTAGGCATGTTACTAGGAGGGACCAATCCTTGGAGAATAACATCATGTTAGGTAGGGTGGAAGGACAACACAGGAGAGGAAAACCCTCAACAAGATGGGTTGACCTCAGCGACTGGGGTAGGTGTGTCAGAGACAGTAAGATTGGCTCAGGGTAGAGCAGGCCTCAGAGCTGTTGTACAAAGGGTCTCTAGGAGTCATAAGGGACTCAATGGCACATAACAACATCATCAAAAGTTCTAGAAGAGCATCTGAAGGTAATAATATCTCTTGGGATATACGTAGGAGACCTCTAGTGTTGAGAAAAGTGTCCTTAAGACTAAGACTCAGATCCTAACTCTGCCACTTAAGCTGCATGAACATGTACAAGTCACTTCACCTCTGGTGATCTAGCTATATGTCTATATTCTAGAAATACTAAAAGCATGGATGTCAAGGAGTTGTATGGGCTGAACATGTTAGGGAATACTAGGGGTGTGAAGAGTTAACTTACTTGGCTGTCAAAGAAGGCTCATGGTTCAAGACTAGGAAGAAGGGCTTGATAACCTATGTCTAAAATGTCACCACGGTGGGAAATCATCTGAAGCACATTTCTAGTCACACACGCTCGAGGTCACCATGAGCTGGAATGGATTCAAGAGCAACTAGTGTTGGCCTAAGAAGTTAGAAAGCTCAGGGACTCTACCTAACAGATCGGAGGTGCCGGGCCTGTCATCTCTGAGTCTGTCTTCTGGAATCTGAGTCATTAATGACTTTGTAGACCTTCAAGAACATTCAAAGTACATTTACTAATTGTTCTGTGTCAACTTCCAGGGGTTAAATGCACTAGTAGGAATATCGTGTTCAAGGTAAAAGGCTGCCTGCTTCCCAGGGAGGACTGCTTTCCTCTGGAGGCAGAGTGATACCAGGCCGTGAACATCTGAGCTCCCCACACTGTGCTTGCATCCTCGACCAGCCCTGGACCTTTTCTGGCCTATCTCCCACTCCTGTTCGATGACAAAGGTGGACTCAGTGACTCCCAAACACGGTCCCACTCTGACCTGCAATGATAGTGACTCTCTCTTTGGGGAATGAAAAGGAAGTAGCCCCTGAGTACTTGTACTTCCTGTGTCTGTGCAGGAAAAGCTGTTCTGAGCAATTACAGGAACCTTTCCCTCGAGCCCTAGCTGATCATCATTTTACAAGACGAGTGAGTGGAACCATGTCATAGATCCAACAATGTTCCTCCCTCTCAATAACTTTCACTGATCGCCCTCCAAGCCAAACTCACATACACAAGATTCATATAAAATCATTGATTTTACTTGGTTGAAAGTTAAAGCCATTGCCTTTTCCCCACTACCTGGTACCCCTAAGTCTCTAACACACCTTTGAGGGATCCTCCTGTAGCCCCACTTAAGCCCTTTCTGTAGCCTGAGTTGATTTTGTTTTGACTCCATTATTATAGACAAAGACACTGAGTGTCTGAGGGAATTACTTCACTGGAGGTTTCAGAGTTGACCTGGACCCTTGAGTCTACCGTCCTGATCGAACCCTTAGACGCAGCCCCGTTTAAAGCTGCTTCTTCTGTTTCCAGGCAAATGGATGAATCCCTTCGGTGTGATGTACACAGAGGACGAGGATTTCCACGTGGATGAGCAGACCACCGTCAAGGTGCCCATGATGAGACACACACACTTATTTCACCTCCATCGACAAGAGGACCTGTCCAGCTGGGTGCTGCTCATGGACTATGAAGGCAACGCCACAGCCTTCTTCATAATGCCTGACCTGGGGAAGATGCAGGAACTTGAGCAGGGCATCACTAAAGAGCTTCTCTACACGTGGCTGAAAAAGAGACACCAAATGTGAGCTACCTTAGAATCAGCTGGGGGGTGCTCAACGTGGATGTCAGTTCCCTGTAGTCACCACAGCTATGAATTTCTTTATGGTGGCCTTGAAAGCGTTAAACTTCGCTTCATCTTTACCAGCTGGGCACCGTGAAAAGGACATGATCCTAGCCTCCAGGGCACCTCCTTAACATGCATGCTGACCCTAGAATCTCCTATGAAGGAGATGCCAGAACAATGCATGGGAGAACCACGCTACAGGGCCTTTCCAACTAAGCTGGATTTGAGTTTGGAATTAAAAGACAGATTGTCAGTGGGCAGACAGAATACGAGCCTGCCTAGAAAAAAACATAGCAAAAGGAAAGGCTCGGATATCAGGAGGTTGATTTTGTGGAATTCCGTGTGCCTCTTGGTCACTAGATCAAAGTGGTTTGATAGGTACCATGGTAACAACATGCTTGAGTGTGCACCCAAATTAGTGTCTCTTTAACTTATGTATAAGTAGCCTCATATTCCATCAATATATTTTATTATATACATTGTGAAACAAATGCAACATTAGGTTAAAGCATGTAGGAATGTTTTAATTGAAATAATAATAATGTCTTTAAGTGTGCTGATAAACAGAACTCTCTCATTTGTCCCCAAACTCCATGAGAATGGGTTAAAGATACTGAGGGACAATCCAGTTGCTTGTATTAGGTCCCTTCTCAAGCCAGCCTTGATCTTTTCTCATGGAAAAGAGTATCTAGCAGTTGAACAAATCAATCTCCTACAAATTAGTCGTTTCTCATTCAAAGATCAAATGCCACTGCATGTCCCAAGCAACATGCAGGGTCTCAGGCTCCCAGCAAGGTCCCAGTTAGAAGTGTGACTCAGAATAAGACATCTTAGAAAGGACGCACTGGTTTATCCTGGAAGAGTTTCTTAGAGGAGGTGCCGTTGGAGGGAGAATTTTCAGGACATTACGGCCATTTGATTGCCGGGCGTTCTCAAAACTCCTGAGCAGAGGACGCTAAAAACTAGAACAACAAAGGGCTTCTTCCACCTTTCATGAGTGGACAGAAGGACAAGGTGTTAAGCAAGGAAACGGGCAGACCTTCTCTGACCTGGGTGGGCCTGTGTTGAGCTCAGACCTTGGATCTGCTAGGAGCTCCATCCACTGTGCATTACCTTTCTCTTCATGGCAGGTTGGCCCGAGTGCATTTCCCCAAACTGTCCATTTCCGGAACCTACGATCTGAAGGAGCTCCTGGGAAACCTGGGCATAACCAAGGCCTTCAGCGATGCGGCTGACTTCTCAAGGCTCACCGAGGGGGCCTCCGTGAAGGTATCCAAGGTGAGATCACACAGAGAGTTCACAGCGTCCTTTGTCTATTGGCTAAAATGTGTACGGGGCCTCAGCTCAGACGGGGGGAGCTCAGACAAGATGCTCTGAGAAATTCAATTAGGTTCACTCCACCAGAAGGAGGTCAAGTGACCACGTGGAGGGGCCGTGGTTTTCCTCTTGAGCACACAGGCTTCAAGAAACTAAGTAACCTCCCCACAGGGATACCACCAGATGGAAAGTGGGATTTGATCTCAGATCCACGTAAAGGAAGGTTACAGTTTTCACATCACACCATATAATCCAGTTGTGCATATTTATATAGTTAGATCTTTGCTGGAAATGCTCACGTGCCAGACACACAGCCTGCGTGCTGTGCATCTTCTGTTATCACTGTGGGTTGTGGTTTGGGACACGTTAGCAAGACCGTGCTCCTGGAAGGTTGCCATGGCCAGATTGTGCCCCTGTGCAAGGAGTGGTCCTTCCATTGCTGACTTAGTAGGGGTGTGACAGCCCACTCTACCTCCCTACTCGGAACTGGCCTCTGTTTCCTCCCCTCCAGGTGATGCATAAGGCTATGCTGACCATTGACGAACAAGGGACGGAAGCTGCTGGAGCCACTTATATAGGGATAATGCCTATTTCTTTACCACCCTTGGTTGAATTCAAGCAACCTTTCCTTTTCCTCCTCTACGATGGGAACACAGACAACCCCCTTTTTGTGGGAAGAGTGGTGAACCCCTTACAAATGTAACTGCCTCTCAGGTTCAGGTTTCACTTCCAGATCAAGTCTCCTCCCTGGTCGAGAATAAAGCCTGTGCTAACCTGGCCAACCTTGATTGTGGACTTGCCAGTCTTCTCACCTCATTGTCTGAGAGTCCCTTTACACTCTGAAGGTAGGCTGGAAAAGTTTCCAGGACTCAGTTATTGTTTTTGGTAGGTGCCCTTGACACGACTATGACTCATAGCAATCCTATGAACAATGGATCTGAACCCTGTTCTATCCTCACAATCTCTGATGTACCTAAACCTATTGTTACTGTCCCTGTGCCAATCCATGTCCTTGAAGGTTTTCCTCTCTTTTTCTGGCCCTTCACCTTTCTAAGAACGATGTTCTTCCCCAAGAACTGACCCCTCCTAACAACATACACAAACTATCACCCAGGTTACATTTAATTAATACTTATTAGGCACTTACTGTGCTCTAGGCATTGTACAAGTCAGAAGGAATTAAAATATAAAATACTGCCTGATAACCACACTGTCTAGGCTCTAGTCTCAGTATGCTGATGCGGATAATTCTGGCTCTCCGGTTATGTTGAGAATCCTCAGAGCTACTACTGCACGCACAGTCTTAGACTCACACTGTCCCCAGTTCCTAACAAGTGTCTACTATGTTCTCCTGTCCATTGCTCTCCTAGCACTCACTGCTGCATCACCTGAGACCTCAGCCTGGCTAAGGCTGGTGGTGCCCACCTCCTGATGTTTGCCCAGAGCTGGTGGTTCACAAGAAGGTCTTCTATTGCTGCTCCTTCAGCAAGGGTAGGAATAAGGTGTCTCCAATCTCATCCCACTCTGTTGCCTGAGCCATAAATAAATGGGCCTGTATATATCTGAGACTTCTCCCTGCAAGTCTCTATGGGGCTGGACAGATAGCACATCTTCTCTGTCCTTTCCATTAAAAAACACCAACCAAAACCAGTTCCTTTTCAGTCTTGTGCAACTCATGCTAACACTTTATGTCAGAGCAGATGTTAGTTCCACAGGAATTTTAATGGCTGTGACTCTTTTGAAGAAGATCAACAAAAATTTTTTCTTAGGAACCTTCGAGTAGATTCCAATAGTCATCCTTTTGGTTAAAATCAAGCATTTAACTATTTGCTTCCCATAAGGACATAATACCATTATTTTAGAATGTGTATGAGGTTCCAAAGGAAGAAGGATGGGAGCAAAGTGCTGATAACAGCGGGAGGTGGGGGGAAGTTAATCATAGGGTCATACAATTTGACGGGTGGAGGGAGGAGCGGGTAAGGAAATGGGAAAGATCTTGTGTGAAAACAATATATAAGAAATTTTAAAGAAAACCAGTACAAAATAAAAATTTTATTACAAAAAAAAGAGTGTATGTCTCTCATGGGGAGCCCTGGGAGTGCAGTGGGTAAGAGTGTTCTACTGCCAATTGAACCCATCAGTGGTGCCACAGGAGAGAGATCTGTGGTGATCCTGTAAAGACTGTAGTCTTGAATGAGAATATGAGGGTGAAGGGACAGCGCAGGAGGGGAAGGCCCTCTATGAGGTGGATTGATTCAGTGACTGGGTTAATTGGGATGGGTATATCGGAGACAGTGAGATTGGCACAAGACAGAGCACAGTTTAGGGCTGTTGTACACAGGGTCACTATGAGTCGCAAGCAACTCAACAGCACATAACAACAACAATTATATATATATAAATGCATATAAATTATATACATATAATTAAATGCATCCAAGAATATGTTGTTGCTGTTAAGGATTGTCAAGTTGAGTGAAGTCACAGTGACCCTATGAATAACAGATCTGAACTCTGTTCTGTCTTGTGCCATCCTCACCTCCTTTGACACACTTGAACCCACTGCTGCAGTTATTGTGCCAATCCATGTAGTTAAGAGTCTCCCTTTCTTAGAAGAGTGAATTGTGGGGGCAGGGGGAGGAGGGAGAAACGTGCAACAATGAATGACCGGAAACCCTAAGTCTCTGTAAACTTCCATTAAAATTAATTTTTTTTAAAAAAGTCTCTCTTTCTTTCACCATCCCGCCATCTTTCTAAGGATGTTGTCCTTTTCCATGGAAAAGCCTCTTCTAGCAACATGCCTAAAGTATGCGAGATGACTCTTTGTCATCTTTGCTTCCAAAGAGCACTCTGGAAGCACTTTCTCTAAGACACATCAGCTTATTCTTTTGACCAGCCATGGGATACGCAATACTCTTCTCCAATACAACAGTTCAAAGCCATCAATTTTTATTCTGTTATCATTACTCATAACTCAGCTCTCAGATGCGTAGCGAGTATATCATTGTTCCTCAGTAATTTGGACAGGTCCCTGATTACAGACTTTCCCAATGCAATACTTATCCTACTCTCCTTCCTGACTGTTAGTATGAAGGGTGTTTATTATGGACTCAAGTAAGAATAAGCCATTGACTATTTCCATCTTTTCTCCATTTATCATAATGTTGCCTATCAGTCCAGTGAGGATGTTTGGCCAACACTGAAATATTTCGGGAATGGCTAGAACAATGCCTAGAGGACTGTCAGCAGTTCTAGGTTTAAAAGAGGCCATGGCACTAAGAATATTGCTGATGTCAGGTGTATCCTGGTTGAAAGTAAAGGATATCATAAGAATGTTTATTTGTGCTTAATTGACTATTGACTATGTGCATCTGACTATGTGGTTAATAAGAAATTACAGATAACATTGAGAAGAATTAGAATCCCAGAACATTTAATTGTGCTCATGTGAAACTTATACCTAGACCAAGAGACTTCTGTGTGAAAGAGTAGGGGAAAACTTGCTATGTTATGTGCATTTGAGTCGCCTGTGACCCATACTGACACTATGTGCAGCAGTTCTGAACCTCGCCCTGTCCTAAGCCAGTCTAACTAATTCCGACACACCAACCACTATTGCCCCAGTCACTGTGTCAATCCATCTCATGCAGGGTCTTCCACTCCTACTTTGTCCCTCCACCCTTCCAAGCATGATGCCCTTCTCTAAGGACTGATCTCTCCTGGCCATGTACCCAAAGTATGTGAGATGGAGCTTCAAAATCTTAGCCTCCAAGGAGACACTTGGTTTCACCCTCTCCAAGACAGACCTGTATGTTTTTTTGGCAGTCCATGGTATGTTCAAGACTCTTCTCCAGCACCACAACTTGAAGGCATTGGTTTTTCTTCTGTCATCCTTAGTCACTGTCCAGCTCTCTGATGCATAGCAAGTAATTGCATAGACCATGGCCTGGACTAGGTGCACCTTAGTCTTTAGACTGACATCGCTGCTTTTCAGCATTCTGGAATGGTCCCTGACAGCAGATTTTCCCAATGCAATTCGTCTTTTCTGACTGCTAGTGTTAAGAGCGTTGATTGCAGAGTTGAGCAAGCTGTAATTGTTAACAACCTCAATCTCTTCACCATCTATCATGGTGCTGTCAACTGGCCCAGTGGTGAGAATCTATAGCTTCTTGATGTTCAACTTCAATCCATATTTAAGACTACACACTACATGGTTCAAAATAAAGTTGTGCTCAGTATTGTACTCTCTTCATACCTATTCAATGTGTATACTGAACAAATAATCTGAGAAGCTGGATTCTATGTAGAAGAAAGTGGCACCATCATCAAAAGTTTTTTCAACAGAGTGAAAAGAAAACCTACCAACTGGGGGAAAAATTGACAATACCATTTCAGACAAGGGTCTTATAACAAAAGATTACAAAATACGCCTGGGCATCAAGAAGAAAAAGACTGATAACCGAGTTACAGAATGGGAAAAAGACTTGGAAAGACTTTTCACAGAGGAAGTCATTTGAATGACCAACAAACATGTAAAGAAATGCTCAAAATCCCTTCCAATAAGAGAGATGTAAGTCAAAACCACAATGAGATACCATCTCACCCCAGTGGCATTAGCAAAGTTTAGCAGGACAGCAAGCAATAAATGTTGGATAGGATGTGGAGAGGTGGGAACTCTCATAAACTGTTTGTGGGATTTTTATTTTTCTGACTCTACTCTTTTTTAAATTTTTTTTATTTTAATGAACCTTTATAAAGAACTTGGATTTCCGTTCATTCATTGTTGCTCATTTTGGGATTTTTTTAAATGGTGCAACCACTCTGGAAGACAATTTGGTATTTCTTAAAAAATGTCAAACCACACAGGGTTGCACAATTTGGTGAGTACAGGGAACAGGTGAAGGTAAAGGAAAGGACCTGGGTGAAAATAAGGTGTAATGTAATGGTAGGCAAGGACCTATGCTGATTAATTTTATAAAATATAACTGCAGCCTTCAGTATGGACTAAGGCTCAATGTCAAGAAGACAAAGATTCTCACCACTGGACCAATTGGTAGCATCAGGATGGATGGTGAAGTAATTGAGATTGTTCACAGCTTCAGTTTGCTCGGCTCCACGGTCAACACTCTTGGCACCAGCAGCCAGGAAATAAAAAATATATTGCGATGGGAAAGTCTGCTGTTAGGGACCTCACTAAGGTACTCAAGAGCAAAGGTGTCTCTCTGGAGACTAAGGTGCGCCTGATACAGGCCATGGTCTTTGCAATCACTTGCTATGCATCAGAGAGTTGAACAATAACTAGGGAGGATAGAAGGAGAATTGATGCCTTTGAGCTGTGGTGCTGGAGACGTGGACTGCCAAGAAAACAAACAGATTCATCCTGGAGAGGGTTAAACCAAGCTACTCCTTGGAGGCAAGGATTCTGGGGCTTCGTCTGACATACTTTGGGCATGTTGCAAGGAGGGACAGGTCCTTGGAGAGGGACATCATGCTTGGGAGGGTGGAGGGACGGCGCAAGACGGGAAGACCCTCTATGAGGTGGATTGATTGATTCAGTGACTGGGGTAATCGGGATGGGTGTGTCAGAGGCAATGAGATTGGCACAGGACAGAGCAGGGTTTAGGGCTGTTGTATAGGGTCGCCATGAATCACAAACGACTTGACGGCACATAACAACAACAACAACAAACAATGCATGGGAAT